TAGTTTAGCTGTCCCTGTTGTAGTTTAGTTGTCTGTGTTGTGTTTAATTGTTTGTGTTGTGATTACGTGATATGTTGTATGTCGACAAGACCTAGCATTGTGTATGTATACAAATGAATTATTTGTATGTTAGTGACTACCTTGTGTTATGTTGATGGGAGGGTGTGGTATTAAGTGAGATTATCCCCATTTTCACTGATATAGATCGGATTCTGAGTGTCCAAGTTTAGGGCTATAGTTAATTCTTTCCACAATATTGGCTGTTTCAGCATTACATTCGTCTCGTTCACGGTAAGAAAGTTAGAATAACCCCACCCTTGTCAGCCAATCCTTTGATAGTCAGGTGATACTCCCCCGTACCCTTACTGTTGCCGTACTAGGTGGATTTCTTGCACTGCTTCTAATTTCTTGCACTATTCATATTTCTTATTTCTGTCTTATTACTTGCAACGTTTCTAATTTCTTGTACCTTTTCTTATTTTTTATTCTTGTCTTATTTATTGCATCATTTTTTATTTCTGTCTGATTTTTTACTCTTCTAATTTGTTAGATCGTTTCTAATTTCTTTCACAATTTCTTATTCTCGTCCTTGTCTGAATATTTGAACCAGTTCTGATTTCTTGCATACTGTCTAATCTCTTGAACTCTTTCATATTCCTTGCATCTGGTTTTATTTCTTGCTCCGTGCTTAATTCTTGCATCGTTGGACTCTCTCTTCCTGCGTCACCAGCTTAAGTAGTGCTCCATGACGTATTAAATATTTATCAAAGTCCCTAAACTCTAGCGGGGTAGATTATCTCCCCTGTCGTTGATTTACACTAAATCAACGCCAGCTGTCTAGTGTAAGGAGAAGAAAAAAAAACCCACACCTTTCTTTAAACACACAAATGAAAAAAAAAACCTTTTAAAAGTTATCTCCCTTTTTTTCTCCCCCACGAATTACCTCCCTTACCACTGACGTTCGATTGCTTCTTTCATATTTCAATGTTCCCTTATCTTCCGCGCGACCGCACTTCAACTTTTAGCTAAACAACCCCACGTTTGCTGGAGAGTTTAATTAAACGCCTACCCGTACCCGTCTCGTTTAGAGTTATGGTCCTTGCATCAACTATAGAGTAATCGCCCCTTGTGGAAGTTAATCGCTCCAGCACTCAGACAACGAGGTCAGTTATTTTAAGAGTAGAGTTGTTGTTGTTTTCTTTCATTTTTTTAATGTTTTTTTTTTTAAATTAGATTGAGTGATATTTGTTAAATTATATGACATGTGTTATGTATTATATTGTCGATTCTACCATATCTCACTAAGCGTCACAGAAAAAAAAATCTCTATATATTCGTCTGTGTTAAAAGGGGGGGATGGTCAAAAATTATTTTATTGTCTCCCCCCCCCCCCCCGCCTCCCACACACTCCTAATTTAACAGTGCATGGAAATATGTGATGCATGTATTTTACAATCTGATAAAGTCAGTAACCAGCCAATACTGTGTTGTTATATTTCTGGTGATTGTACAATCATTTACCCGTCGCTTCAAGTATTACAAGCTTAATACCCAACATGCAATTCTCTCACGATATATATATATATATATATATATATATATATATATATATATATATATATATATATATATATATATATATATATATATATATATATATATATATATATATATATATATATATATATATATATATATATATATATATATATATATATATATATATATATATATATATATATATATTGATATTTAAGTGTTTAAAATAGAAGTGTTGAAAAAGATACTTCAAAATTTTAAATTTTTTGGAAAATTGGAGTTAAAACTATCTGGTTCTGGAGAAGCGATATGGCTATGTTTTTACATTTACCTACATACATATAGACACATATACATACAGATGTATGCGTGTTTGTGTGTGTGTGGGTTTGTGTTCTAGTTATCTGTGACTAAAAAATTGTGATAAAACGTCAAACTTTGAAATCGAACATTTAAAAAAAAATCTGTTTTCTTCGATTTTTTGAACTGATTTTGAACGTAAGCTCGACAAACTCATGCTCCGGATCACCTAGCGATCAGTGCAAATATCGAGGAACATTAAATGATTATTTACGAGTCTGTCAGTTGAAGGGCCACTTCTCTGATTTCAAACGATCGATCAACAACGTCGTTAAAAAGTGATCAATAATCCAAGAAAGTTAATACAAGTTAAACAATCGATTTTTATCAATAAACTCGCGGCCACTTTTACAATCATTAATCACAGACTGGTTTTGTAGGCTTCGACTCGCGGTTTAGGCGACACGACTGTAAGGCTGAATTTTTAATGGGGTTGGTGACATGGGATTTAGAGGCTCGTTGACTGCTTAAGGGGATTAGAGATTAGACTAAATCTGGCAGTAACTAATTAGTTATTAAATACAACTAAATCATTTTTATAGTGAATGCGTTTTTAGAAATGACAAAGTCGGATATTCGCTAAATGATTCGTAGACTTCACAAAATAAAAAATTCACTTCATTATTTATAAAATATACATACATTTAATACACTTTATAGTTTCTTCTTGTTTTGAACATACATGAATCTATTTCAGCGCTGCACCATGCTTTACTACGCCCGTCATTCCAAGCGTAATTGTCGATTTAAGTAGTAAAGAGATAGCAGTAATAAGGGATTTAAAAATTTGGAATAAAGAAATAATATTATATAGTTATAATACAAAATGGGATTGAGAACACAATAGATGAATGAGAAATGTTTTAAGTCAGTTTAGGAGATCATGAAAAAGTTGTTTTATTTTTTTTATTTTTTTATTTTAGTTTTGAATATATTTTCAGATATAGATTGTTTTGTTTCATTAGGAAGATTGTTCCACTAATTAGAACCAGAGTAACATCCTCTCCCACCACCCACCCCCACAACCTCGCACACACTCTTCACCCCACGCTCATATACTGTGGCCCCTGTTACTTGACATTTGCCATTGTCAAAAATAAACGAAGTCTCCAAGAGCTTGTAGTTTGATCCATTATGAATTGTGAACTTAGACTTGAAGTTATCTACGTGTATATAGTTTAGCTATACTAGTATAAAGTTTAGCACGTTTTTAAGTCGCTGTACGTCTACAGTCTACATATATAGGGGATTGCTGAATTAAGGTGGCCAGACAAATGTTTATTTAACCCGCCGAAATCGTTGTCCACTCTCTATAACATAATTTGGTAAACTAAACGATTTCAGTACAACAGGCTGGACCACAATTAGCTATAAGTACCCCTACAACATGCCCCCCCCCCCCCCCAATTGAATTAATTGTTTCAACAGTAAGACTACTAGGACCATTTTTTAAGAATATCTATGTTTTTCTCACTATGCTCTGTACTCGTCTAATTTGATTGAATGCTGTTAGTTAAATATGAGATTTGTTAATTTAAGCCGTTAAACAACAAACACCGTTTAAAACTTCGCTGTTCGATTAATTCAGTACAGATTTTAAAAGTCTTTACTTACATAAAAGTAGGTTTCTTAAATATTGACGAAGTCTTTGTACTCTGCTAATTTGATTGAATGCCAATAGTTAATTAAAGCCGTTAAAAACTAACACTGTTTAAAAATTCATTACAGATTTTAAAAGTCTTTTCTAACATAAACATAGATTTCTTAAATATAGACGACCTCTTTGTACTCTGCTAATTTGATTGAATGCTGTTAGTTAATTAAAACCGTTAAAAACCAACACAGCTTAAAATTTCGCTGTTTTATTAATGCAGTACATAGTTTAAAAGTGTTTTCTTACAGAAACGTAGCTTTCTTACATATAGACGACGTATGTGGTAGGGCTGGTACCTCTTCCCCACCCCCCCCCCCCACTCCCCCCCCCCCCCCACCCCCGGGGCGGCTGTAACACGTGACCGTCCCTGGCAGACTGAAGCTGGTGCCTAAGTAAGAGGATCTCCAAGAATACGTGACTAGACTTGGTTTCTTCAAGACGCTTCCAGAACATTCTACACGTCTCCCGCGGGAGTGTTGTTCTAGACTAGATATTGACCTAATAATTCTCCCGTTACCTCGATGGTATTTAAAAGGAAAAGGAAATGCCAAGAAATTGTTTTATTGGATGTGCCGTATTAATCATGGAATTACCGTAATCATCTCGAATGGGACCTCTTGTTACAAGTAAACCTGACGTAAAATTAAATGACCTTAATCTTTATAAAGTGGTTGTGTGTGTATTGATACATAGTGTTTAGTGTTTATATAATGTCATGGGTTGAAGACAGTAACGGTACAGTGGACGTTTCGACCCAAGGTCAACGTCAGCGCTCAGTGACTAACGAAGAAACAGGCAAACAGTTTCACTGTATATTTAGCTGTTCGTTTAACCTTAAATCTAACTTTAATTTAATTTAATCTTAGCTTTACGGCTAGAAATGATTTTAAAACTTTAATCTTGAAACATCCATAACACATTACGTCATCTTGCCCATATGTTTCCTATTTGGCTGCATGCGTGTTGCCAGTTTCACTACACTTTTGTTGCTCTTTTCATTACCCGTTTTTGTTTTCTATTTCGTTGTCTTTTGTTTACTTTTTGCATCTCCTTTATTTGTTTTGCTTCCTATTTTGCTGCCGTTTAATTTCACTTTTGCCGATCTTTATTTGCCTATTTTGCCTCTCCTTTAGTTTCCTATTTTGCCGATCCTTTAGTTGCCTATTTTGCCGATCCTTTAGTTGCCTATTTTGCCGATCCTTTAGTTGCCTATTTTGCCGATCCTTTAGTTGCCCATTTTTCCGTTCCTTTAGTTGCCTATTTTGCCGCACCGTTAATTGCCTATTTTTCCGCACCGTTAGTTGCCCATTTTCCCGAAACTATAGTTGCCTAGTTTGCCGATCCTATAGTTTCCCCCTTTTTACCCGATCCTTTAGTTGCCTATTTTGCCGAATTTGTTTGCAAATGTGTCGTCTTTAACCCTGGTGTATTTTTTTTTACCTTTCAGTTCTGATGTCAAATTAATGAGTCTCCACACTAATGACATGTCACCATCTCAGCATAGAAGTCACCACTCAGTGTCACCACCTCATCGCGGGAGTCACTAATACAATCACCAGACGAGTCGAGTCACTACTCAGCGTCACCAATCAAGTCACCCTACAAAATAAGTCTCGTGTATCGTTTGCCCGTGTCACCATTGACTGAACACGCGTATTCTGACGTCACCAGCCACTAGAATGATTAGACGCAAGTCTCACCTTTGTGTAGATCACCTTTTACTCAAGTCTCACTTAACGTCTTCCCCGATACTGTGAACCCCGGACCCTAACAGCTAGTAGCTAACCTAGCTTGGTTTAGCTAAATCTGACTACACATATTATTTCATCATTATCTCCACGATGTTTTTATACTAGTTAGTCTTTATTATTGTGACTTATTTCGAAGGGATTACATTACTTAATTTAAAGAAAGGGAGGTAATGATATCAATGTGAGGGAGATAATCCATTATTTTCTTACGTGTTTCGGGAACCATGCCATGAGCCACTGTTTCTGGAGTTTAAATTATCTACGTTGGACGTACCGTCGCCATGACAACCAAAGTTATTTACTTTCTGATTAACGGGAAAGAGGAATCGGCGGAGTTCAATAGCGATGACGACACAGAGGACGTCAGAGGTTAGTGTGGGTTTTAGTTTCTCTCTCTTATCTCCCCTGATAAGTTCATCTGTTATCTCCCCTATCTATACATCCCACCTCTTCTCTGCCCTGTCTATACAGCTCCCATCTTCTCTCCCCTATCTATATAAACTATTATCTCCCCTAAATATACAGTCCAATATCTCCCCTATCTATACAGCCCACCTCTTCTCTCTCTTATCTATACAGCCCACCTCTTCTCTCTCTTATCTATACAGCCCACCCCTTCTCTCTCTTATCTATACAGCCCACCTCTTCTCTCTCTTATCTATACAGCCCACCTCTTCTCTCTCTTATCTATACAGCCCACCTCTTCTCTCTCTTATCTATACAGCCCACCTCTTCTCTCTCTTATCTATACAGCCCACCTCTTCTCTCTCTTATCTATATAGCCCACCTCTTCTCTCTCTTATCTATACAGCCCACCTCTTCTCTCTCTTATCTATACAGCCCACCTCTTCTCTCTCTTATCTATACAGCCCACCTCTTCTCTCTCTTATCTATACAGCCCACCTCTTCTCTCTCTCTTATCTATACAGCCCACCTCTTCTCTCTCTTATCTATACAGCCCACCTCTTCTCTCTCTTATCTATACAGCCCACCTCTTCTCTCTCTTATCTATACAGCCCACCTCTTCTCTCTCTTATCTATACAGCCCACCTCTTCTCTCTTATCTATACAGCCCACCTCTTCTCTCTCTTATCTATACAGCCCACCTCTTCTCTCTCTTATCTATACAGCCCACCTCTTCTCTCTCTTATCTATACAGCCCACCTCTTCTCTCTCTTATCTATACAGCCCACCTCTTCTCTCTCTTATCTATACAGCCCACCCTTTCTCTCTCTTATCTATACAGCCCACCTCTTCTCTCTCTTATCTATACAGCCCACCTCTTCTCTCTCTTATCTATACAGCCCACCTCTTCTCTCTCTTATCTATACAGCCCACCCTTTCTCTCTCTTATCTATACAGCCCACCCCTTCTCTCTCTTATCTATACAGCCCGCCCCTTCTCTCCCCTATTGTACAGCCCACCCCTTCTCTCTCTTATCTATATAACCTATCATCTCCCTTATCTATACAGCCCACCCCTTCTCTCCCCTACTGTACAGCCCACCCCTTCTCTCTCTTATCTATATAACCTATCATCTCCCTTATCTATACAGCCCACCCCTTCCCTCCCCTATCTATACAGCCCACCCCTTCTCTCTCTTATCTATATAACCTATCATCTCCCTTATCTATACAGCCCACCCCTTCTCTCTCTTATCTATACAGCCCACCCCTTCTCTCCCCTATCTATACAGCCCACCCCTTCTCTCCCCCTACTATACAGCCCACCCCTTCTCTCCCCTACTATACAGCCCACCCCTTCTCTCCCCCTACTATACAGCCCCCCCTCCCCCCCTACCGTACAGCCCACCTAATCACCCAACCTTGTAAACTATCCGTTCTTCAAACCTCGCTAATTATGTTTGATCTATTGATTTCTTTTGTTTAATTTGGAGCCCACGTCATGGTATCTCCTATCTTTGACATTTAACAAACCTCGGCTAAACCCACTTTGACGTTTAACAAACCTCGGCTAAACCCACTTTAAAAAAAAACAACTTCTGTTGATTGAGATTGCTACAATGATTTAAGTTTCTATCAACCAGAAAAATCAAGAGGTCAAACCCCACTGACGTAAATTGTAAAAGTACGTTTTGTGAAGCTTTCGATTAGCATTAGTTAACTCTTTAATCACTAGTCAAATCCGAATCAAGAATAATGAGCAGTTGGATTTTTAAACCTTTGATGCTGGGGAATTAAAAAAAAACTTTAAACATAAAATTTCCCCTAAGGGTGAAGTTTTTTTTAATGGGTTTGGAAGTCGATAAAAATGTGTCTTACACTTGGGTAATTTATTTTCGAATGTAAAATATACGGAAATAAACAAAATACATAAAGATGTGAACATTTTGGCTTTCTGTACAGGCTAATTGTTTTACAAAAAAATGGTATGTTGTTTTTTTATTTGCATAGAAAAAAAATCATTTTTTATTGGCCACATTACTTCATACATATAAAAGTGCATACATACATACATATATATATATATATATATATATATATATATATATATATATATATATATATATATATATATATATATATACATGTATATCTCAATATATGTATATATATAGATATACATGTAGCCTATATATATGTATATAAATATTATATATATATATATTTATATTATATATATATATATATATATATATATATATATATATATATATATATATAGTAGGCCTATATCATTTATAAAACTAGCTACAGTTTTCTTGCTATTCGTTCCTTGAAGATGTATATGATTTGTAAAATGTGTAGATAGCTAAACTTGAATTGGCTGAGTTCAATTAATTAAAGTGTATAAAAGTAAGGACTAAATTTTATCAGAGTTGTCGTACTTGATTGCTATCTGAATGGCTGCTGTAGTTCACTTGTTACGGTATTTATAAGTCAATCATTGACTATCACACTGGTGATAGAGTTATCTTATTCTCGTTTATAAGTATGATCATTGTGTGTTATGTTACATACTCTCTTTGACTAGATGTGACCTTTTTAGGGGGGTGGGGTGGGAATGATATAGAAAATCAGACGGCGTGGGGCCACTGATATTTAAAATGGGGCGGCGGGGGGCACTAATATAGAAAATGGGATGGCGTGGTCGGATGGAAAAGCGTTCGAGCGCTAACCCGAAAGACTCGAGTTCGGATCCCTGGTTCGAGTCCGTAAGACGTCCCTGATTCCACGACTCACGTCAGGGAAAGTACAGGTAAAAGGGCCTAGTGCTGACCACACTATCCCTCCAAATGCCGAGGTCAGGGAAACAGGTGAACCATTCTTTACCGGCCATACGGACTGTTGGGGTTCGAAAGGGTACTTTACTGATGTAGAAAAACATGATTATATAGATTCAATGAGTGATTGTTTTTTTTTACCTGTGATTCCTATGGATGTGACACATAAGGATTTGATACTATTTAGCGGTGTCATGGTGACTAGCGGGACATACTTTGAGAACCACCGAAACGACTAAATGTTAAAATATTGTATTAATCTGTCGACAAAAGAATACTCACTAGTAGGTGGACGTGTCAAATTCTGGCATAGATTACGGGATTATCATACGGATTTTCGTGGAATTAAAGATTAAACCCTATAAAATATGATTGTATTGTTTTCATAATTTCAAAGCGAAACCTGATACACTTGCTCATAGTTTGTTTTTTTTTAACTAGAGAACGCTGCTTGACGTCATAGCCTCGTTTTTACCTTGCGTATTGAGGAATCTGTGACGTCAGAAATCTTTTTGTAGTTATTTCCCTTCAGTAACATGAAAGGATAAAGACTTAATTGAAAACAAATCAAACTTCCATTTCACGCTAAAGGCTTTCTTTTTTTTTTCTTTTTGAAGAATTAATTTGACAAAAAAAAAGTTGTTTTAAGGTTGGCCAGTGAGGCGATTATGTTTGGTGGTTTGTGGGAAGGATTTCATTACTGGTTAATTAGTTGATGGCTTGATTAGGGTACTTGGTTTTAAGAAATTTGCACCCATCACATGGCTCATACGGGTGTATGTCATTTGGATTCTTTAAATTTATGTTACATCGTTTTAACTTTGGTAGTTTTTATAAATATTTCTGGCTATGCATTATTCCTGTTATTAACGTTACTGAATAAATTGAATTGTTAGTATTATTAGTTAAGGTTTGTTTATTGTTTTGGCATACATTATAGATTATTTTGTTACCAGTTTTTTCAAAAAAAAAACTACTTGCACAGTTGTTGTTTTTATTTTTCATTTTCCTAACTTGAATTTGTTAACCTTTTTCCCATTGAATATACTAATCTTAAACCCCATTACATTTGTTTATTTTTACCTCATTTGATTTTTTAACCTTTACCTCATTAAATATGTTAACCTTTACCCACAATTATTTGTGTTAATCTTTATCCCATTTAATTTGATCATTTATTTTTTTCCCATTAATCGTGTTAACCTTTACCACCATTTTGTTTATTAATATTTACCCCTTGGCATTAAATACCCGATGTATCACAATTGAGACCCGAACGATTATGGAACTTGAACTAACAAAAAAAAAAAAATTCCCCTCTAATACACTATCACATTTTTTTTTCTCTGACGTAATCTCTTTTAGGTTCCTGGTTAGGATTAAGTTTAATCTCAGGGCTGTGGAAAGAATAAGGTCAGATTAAGGGTTTAATTTATATGTAAGAGGAAGGGTAGGATTTTAAACAAATAACATGTCTTAAAAGTATAGCACGAGATTGTATATGAGTCCCCCCAGCTATATTGAGTACCTGATTCACTTTAGAGCAAGGTAAAAAAAAAGCTGGGCATAGTGCTGACCACACCACCGTGGGTAAGAAACAGATGGACTCTACGTCATCTGCCCAATGGATCGTTATGTTTGAAATGATTACTTTACCTTTACAAAAAAACATAGGGCTTGTGATGTACGTTTCATCGGCTGTGCTGTATGTACCAAGTTTATTACGTGAAGATTAGGCAGGGAATATTCACGCCAAGGTGTGCCATAAAAGTGATCTCATACACGTATCAAAAAGAAAGGAGTTACACCTGTAAATAATTCGCGTTTTTTTTTTTTTTTTGAAAGTCTCTTTAGTACCTCAACGTTCGATAACTCTAAAACATAAACACACGCCATTACCTCCCCTTGACAAACAAATTGTAAAACCAAGAACGCGCCACTCGGCTGGGTTATGACGTAAGTAGAACTTGATGAGCTCTTCACGAGGGGAAAGTCTATAAACGTGGGCCTCGCTGGTGTTTACCAACTGGCGGTGTTTAGTACGTTCACGGTGGGGGCACGGGTTGTGGGTTGTAGGTTATGGGTTGGGGTCGATGTAGTCAAAGAAAGATTTGGATTGATCGCG